GGTTGGTTTGATATCATTCATAAGTTCCCAGTCCTAGACAGTCTTTTTAACTTCTTTGGTCTTAGGGTTTTGTTGTTCTTGGTTTTTTTTCTTCTTTATCCTCTTCTATTATAGTTTATCCTCTTCTATTCTAGTTTATTCTCTTCTATTATAGTTTCACTTATTCTTCTTTATTTTCCTTTGTAGATTCTTCTAGCGTTCCAATCTTCTGCATAGATGTATCTAATCAGGGTCCAATCAGGAGACAGAAGCCACACAGTGATTTGAATAGGGAAAGCTAAATATAGAGAATTATTAGCTATGATGGGGGATTGTTGTAATAGGAGATTGGCTCATAAGGAGTGAGTAGAACTGTAAAGAATAGAGGAAGAGCAGATACAGGCAGCAGTCACTATCCTGAGGGCTGAGATAGAGCACCTGCCGAGGGAACAAATGTAAAAGAGTGCCACATACTCAAGACTGAGACCCAGACCTTCTGGCTCACTGGATGTACTCTGAAACACGGAACTGCCCCAAGGTAGTACCAGGGGATGCAGTCTACAGGGAAGTTCCATGCCAACAACTCATTGGGAAACTATTCTTGGAGGTGCTTGGGGCTGCTGCCCCATGGGAGATGCTGTACCTCAGAACTCAAGGAGTTCTGGGGAAAGCAGTTAATGAGAAGGTGCTAGGCCTGTGGCACTCACTGTAAAGCTCTCCCAGAGGGTGCCAAGGGGAGCTGTTTATGAGAGGTACCACTCTGGCACTCTGCTGCAAAGCTGCCCAAGGCCTGCTTCCCCTGGGAAAGTCATATGCACTGTAGGAGTCAGCTAAAGAAGCACACCAGAACCAGCAAGAGAAACTCCTTATTCCTCCAGTGTCCCTTCAGTGCCCTCTACTGACAAAGCTTAACATCATGCCAGCTGGCAAAGGAGAAATGTTTACGGGTCCTGCTCCATTATCTCAGAGCAAGCAAAAAGAAAGGCAGATTTGGAGTGAAAGGCAATAAATTGATAGCTGGCGTAATGTATAAAGAGGAAAGTTCATGAACTATATTTTCTGACAGGTTTCAAAATTATATCCAATTTAAAGTAATTAGTTACATCTCCCCCGGTCTTTTTTTTTTTTTTTTTTTGAGTTCAGTCTCACTCTGTCACCCAGGCTGGAGTACAGTGGTATACTCACTGCCACCACAACCTCAACGTGCTCAGGTGATCCTTCCGCCTCAGCTTTCCAAGTAGCTGGAACTACAGGCACATACCACTATGCCTGGCTAATTTTTTTTTTTTTATTGTAGAAATGAGGTCTCATCAAATTGCCCAGGTTGGTCTTGAACTTGTGGGCTCAGGCAATCCTCTCACCTTGCCCTCCCAAAGTACTGGGATTATAGGTTTGAGCCACCGTGCCTGGCCTAACCCCTACTTTTTTTTTAGAGACAGGTTCTCGCTCTGTTGTCCAAGTTGGAGTGCGGTGGCACTATCATAGGTCACTGTAACCTTGAACCTTTTCCTTCCCCCACCTTTTTTTTTTTTTTGAGTAGGAGTCTTACTGTGTCTCCCAGACTAGAGTGCAGTGGCACGCTCATGGCTCGTTGTAGCCTTGACCTCCTGGGCTCAGGTGATCCTTCTGTCTCAACCTCCTGAGTAGCTAGGACTACAGGCATGTGCCACCATGCCAAGGTAGTTTTGTTTTGGTTTTTTTTTTGTAGAGACAAGGTCTCATTATGTTGCTTAGGCTGGTCTCACACTCCTCAACCAATCTTCCTGCCGTGGCCTCCCAAAGTGCTGAGATTAATAGGCATGAGCCATTGCACCTGGGGCTTCCCCTCTTTTTTTTTCCTCTCTTTTTAAAATAAGAATAATTGTGGTTCTCTGTTTTAAAGTCTTTCCTCTTGAATCAGCAGTTATACAAAATTCATTGGAGTTGTATTCCCAGATGCGTTGGGTATCACCTTATCTGCTAGAAGGAAAGCAGGATAGAAACCAATATCAAACTGGCCAGTAAATTTTGAAGTTGGCTCTTTCTGTGCCTCCCTTACTTTGTTTAAAAAATTGCATATTTTGCTAAGGTACCAAAATTTAACCACTTCTTTCCTGATCATTCAATACCAGTGTTTGGGCATGCAGCAAACTCTTCTCCTTATAAAGTGTCATGATTTTTGTTATTTGTTTATATTTTTAAACTTTCTTCAGTCAGTAATAATAACCTTATCCTATCTAAATCATCAGAAGCACTTGAAATCAGTTCCCTTGGACATATTTGTTTTTATACAAAAAAGTCAATAAAAAGTGCCACAATTATGTTAAATTCCACTTAGATGATGAGTTTCTCAGACTTCTTTCCGAAGTGCTCTTACTTGGAGTACATTTAATCCATCCAGCTGAATAACTTTCTCTTGTCTCTTTACTCCTCAATTATCTGTCCTTGACCTTGGTCGACTTTTATCTAGATCCTCAACTAGTGCTCCAGCCACATTAACTTAGTCACCTACTTGAACTGACCAGTAGGATGAGTTAGTAGGATTCAGCACAGGCCTAGAAACCATAGAGCCTTGTGGTACTTGACCGGGGTCAGTGTCACATCCCCTTTGATATCAAGTAGAGCTTCTTCCCCTCAACCCCTGGGTAAGAGCCTTACCTCCAAAGTTGTGTGGTCCTCCACACCCTTGGAAGTACTCATGATTAGCTAGGGAAGTCCCTGCACGCATCTCTGACCTCATTGTCCCAATGATGAAAAAGGAGGAAGAAACATGATAAAGTATGACTTGATTGTATCTTCTAAAGAGAAGAATGATTTTTTTTCCTCTTAAAGAAAGAAAGGGTTAGACTTGGTGACTCAGCCTGTAATCCCAGCACTTTGGGAAACTGAGGCGAGTGGATTGCCTAAGCCTGGACATTCAAGACCAGCCTGGGCAACTTAGCGAGACCTCTTCTCCACAATAAATTAAAAATTAGGGCAACCCCCTCGGGTTCCCTCTCACTGTGGGAGCTTTTCTGTCCCCTTAATAAATCCTGCTTTCAAAAATAAAAATTAGCTGGGCATGGTAGCTACTTAGAAGGCTGAGGTGGAAGGAATGCCTGAGCCCAGCAGGTCAACGCTGGGTGGCCTTGAGTGTGCCACTGAACTCCAGTCTGAGCAATGGAGTGAGACTCCAACTCAAAAAAGAAAGAAAGAAATATTTCCTCTCTGTGAGGATAAGGAACTGCTAAATAGTTTTATGAAGATAATGGTTTCCTTAGCAACCATGAATTATCACCCACCTCTTCTCTCTGGTGTGTAGTGTTTCCTTTAATAGTCTGGTTCTAAAATAACAGAATTAGTTAGCTCCTTATTCAGGAATATTTATCTAAGATTTTTCTCTAATTTTTTCTTCTCTATTACTCCCAAGCAGTATGAAATTTGCAAAAGCTTTTATTGCTTTTAGCCAATTAATCATTTATTTTGGAAATATTTTCTGTAAACCTATTATGTTCAGAGCACTCTGAGGCTTACTAGGATAAGGCAAGACTTGTATACAAGCTAAGGCAGAGTAAGTGTTACCCAAATAAATGTGGCAAACCAAATGGTCTATGAAGGTTTGGTCTACTATTGCCTACACTTTTTTCCCTTCTCCCCACTAGCACTAATTAGATGGAAATACACAACTAGCAGTGCATTGGGATCTGGATTTTGGTGGCACAAGTTCAGGCAGAAAATATGATATAATGAACATATTTGGTGTTAAATAAAATAGTTTTTATTGATTACCAGCAAAAATGTGCTGCTGTCTTGTTTTTCTGTGTTTAGAAAGCATGTGAAAACTAATCTGTAGATTTCAATTCTCTTATTCATATAAATAGCTTTGAAGACATTAATTTTCAACAATATTACTTGAGTATATGCTTTTTAGGGCCAAAAGAATTAGATACAACCTTATTTTCTCAAAAGGAGATTTTATAATCTAGTTGAACATGCACAAAAATCTATATGTAGAGGAAACATGTTATGAACAATCAAGCCACTCATGGCCAAGAGTGATGTCATATAAGATTAGTACTCTATTGAGTGCTGAAACACAGTAGATTGATCATTGTGTAGGCTTAATTAGAAAATAAAGGTCCTTTCACTGGTCATTGAAGGAAATGAGAGATGGTATTTATCAGAACAGTCTTGTTTTCATGACTTGGATAGGCTCTATCTGCCTTGCTTGAACATGACTACTGTATTTCACATTCCACTCCATCAAAAGTATTTGAGTAGCTGAGGTCTCTGGAGGTTCAGGCATGTCATTATTAGACATCTTCTTCTGAATTCATTATCAGAAATAGTCTGTCATAGTTTCCTGTAATTATGCCTGAGAATTCTGTAGTAAAGATCATGTTGACTATCTCTGTTAAAATTTATTGGTTACCAGGCATCTCCAGAGAGTTGCCAAGCCAAAGAAAAGTTATTTTCCTCTGTGAAGCTTTTTTAAGGACATAGAAAACTTCTGACATTCAGGGATAGCAACAACAGTGGGGAGATGTTAGAAGTAAAGTCCCACTTCCACATATATTTAGTGAGTAACCTCTATGATCCAAGTTATGTGTTAGGTGCTAATTCTTGTATGTATAGAGTCAGGCAGAGGTATTGTCTCTGGGAGCTTATCATTTATGAAAGCTTGAGATACAGGGAGCGAGGGAGAGATTTGAGTGATTTTTTGTGTGTTTATGCTTGCTAGGGCTTGTGTCCCTTTGTGCCTTAGGGTGCTTCCTTTTCTCATTCACCAGTGTAACCAGATCTGGGTTTGTGTTTCCACCTGGATTTGTAACACTTTGACCTTCTCAGTGCTATGAGTAATGTCACTAATTCAGCCTGGTTTTGACTTGATTAGAGCCAAATTATAAGTTGTGCTTAGAGCTTCACCTGTTCCTTGTCCTGCACAGAATGAAGCACCTAACTACTACCCTGAGTGCTTAGCCGGCAATGCTTATAATGCTTTTCATGATCCCTCACCTCCTCTCTTTCCATTCCTGCTCCCCTTATCTCTGGTTTCCATCTAGATGCTGACATAAGAAGGAACACAGCCTCAAGCAGCAAATCCTTCATTTCCTCCCAATCCTTGTAAGTACCTAAAAAAACAAAAACTAAAACAAACAAAACACATTAAGATATGTGGAGAAACAAACCCAGTTCTTGGCATGTAGATGGGAAAGGCCATGGGAAAACCATTCAACTTCATGAGGAAGCATGGTGAAAGCCACGGGCTTGCCTGATGGTGGCAAGCCCAAGAGAAGAGAACAAAAGGTCTTTGGTCTAAACAGGGTGGGATCTTGTGGAGGCAAAGTTCGAAGTGTGAATCATTCCTTTTCTGCTGACTCTGACCATAACCAGAGGCCCAGAAGATCAGGTCTCAAAAGAGAGCAATGCTCATGATTTATTTTGAAATCAAACTGAACAGGTTCCACATCATAGCCCCAACCATTTTTCCTTAGACTTGGTTTCTTTGGTTCTCTCCTTTCCAGCTCCCACTGCTTCCTGCACTCCACGTCTGCTGAGGCGGTGGCCATGGGGCTCTTGAAGCAATTTGAGGGGATGCAGCTTCCAGCAGCTTCAGAACTAGAGTGGCTTGTCCCAGAGCACGATGCCCCTCAGAAGGTAGGCTCTTCAGCTCTTCTTCCTTGCCCAGGAGGTTGAGCCTTTCTGTCTTGTTCTCCTACTCTGGAATGTGTTTTCCTTTCTTACTCATAGAAGCCATCCATTATAAATGTATTCAGTGACTAAAATGAATGAATGAAAGCTTGCTTGCCTAGGTTTTCCGTAGCCATTGTCAAAACAGGAGATAAAGGCTCCTTCACTGTCCTTATTCCACATGACTGCTCACTAACCCAAAGGTAGAGCTTTTGTTTTGTGACCACCTTTGAGACAGTATGAAACTGTGAATTGTTCAGATTCTTATTTATTCTGTAGTTGAGTCTTTTTTTTTTTTTTACTTTTTACTTTTAAATATGTAGGGTACAATTCAAGGTTAGGTATACAAATGTTCATTATGCAGGTACCCTTGTTGATGAGGTGTGCCCCCTCCTCCCCTGGCAGTTTCCCACTACTGCCAATCCTGCCCCTACCCTCCCCTGGCAATTTCCCACTACTGCCAATCCCTTTCTTAAAGTATTATGATAGTATTCAAGGTCCGCTTATGAGTGAGAACATGTGATACTCGGTTCTTTGTTTCTGTGATAGATCACTCAGTATTATGGCCACGTTGCTGTGAAGTTCACAGTTTTGTTGTTCCTTATGGCTGCATAATATTCCATCATGTGTATGTACCATGTTTTTTTATCCAGTTTTCTTTGGATGGGCAGCATGGTTGGTTCCATGTTTTTGCTATTGTGAACAATGCTGCAGTAAACATGCATGTGTTGGTATCTTTTTCAGAGTGATCTGAGTGCCTCCAGGAATATCCCGGTAGGGGGATTGTGGGATCTTATGGGAGGTTGATTTTTAGATCTTTTAGGAATCGCCACACTGTTTTCCATAAAGGCTATACTAGTTTACACTCCCACCAACAGTGTAGAAGTGTTCCCTTTTCTCCATATCCTCTCCAGCATCTGTTGTTTTTTGAGTTATTGATGATGACCATCCTGACTGGAGTTAGATGGTATCTCAGTGTGGTTTTAAATTGTTGGCTGCTCATATGTCTTTTGAGAAGTGCCTATTCATATCTTTTGCCCACTTTGTAATGGGTCTGTTTGTTTTTTTCTTTTCGGCACATTTGAGTTCCTTGTAGGTCCTAGATGTTAGGCCTTTGTCAGATAGGCAGTTGGCAAGTATTTTTTTTCCCAGGCAGTTGAGTCTTTAAGGCATGAAGCACCCTGGCATGTAAAGGGTCGTGGGATAAGTAAGGGCAACATTGGCAGTGGGTGCCACCACCTTGGAATGCTGTTTCTGTTTGCTTCTGGGACTCACTTCTGGTATCCTGGTGCTTCCTGGTTGGTTTCAAGGCCAAGGTTTACTGAAGCCCTTATCCTGTGGTGTTCTTAAAACGCCTTTGATTAACTGTGCTCTGTCATGGCCAGAAGGGTCAAGCATTTGTGTTCCCCAGACTATTCATGATAGCTCACCTTGTGCTTTTCTCCTGCAGCTCCTGCCCATTCCTGACTCACTGCCTATCTCACCGGATGATGGGCAGCACGCCGACATCTACAAGCTGCGCATTCGTGTTCGTGGCAACCTGGAGTGGGCCCCACCCCGGCCTCAGATAATTTTTAATGTTCATCCAGCCCCAACGTGAGTGGCTAGTGGCCATACTCCTTAGAAAATGGATACATCTTCTTTGGATTGCCAGGGCTTTCTCTTCACTCTCTTGTCTCGGCCTCCATCTGTACTTCCCACACAGTTCTGTTTATTTAAAGGCAGAGGAAGAGGATTATCCATTTTGTCCTTAAATTCTTACTCTTAATCCTCCCATTCCTTCTCAGAGCGCATTGGAAATTAGACCTTTCCACTGGCATTCCCACCTTGTTGCCTTCTTCCCAATAGTTTTGTGAACTTACAGTTTTTCTTTTCCTTTTAAGATGGATTGAATGTTTGTCTCCTGTCATTCTTTCCCATTACTATTTATCATCCCTTACATTTGTGCAGAAATTGTGGTTCTTCATTGGGGAGAGTCACTGTCTAGATCTAAATCCTCAGCTTATAATAAGTCTTCAATTTGAATTAGTTCTTACAGTGGGTTTATTTTGTCCAACTAAAACAGTAGATGAATTCCCCTCTCTATGAGTGCTATGTTTGTATCTTCATCCCTCACACCTCAAAGGCCTCATGCAGCTGCTATCTGCCAATCCCCTCTCTTTCCCCTTCCTTAGAAGGAAAATTGCTGTGGCCAAGCAGAATTACCGCTGTGCAGGATGTGGCATCCGGACTGACCCTGGTGAGTATCTTCTCTTACTGCCTTGCTGCCTCCAGAGGCTTTATTTCCTCCCACACCTAGAATACAGGAGACCTGTCAGAGGTAGGACAGGGGGATAACAGGGCAGAACTGGGGAAAGGGAAAGAAGCCTGGAGAAGGGGTAGGTCTAGTCAAGAACACTGGCAATCAGAGGGAAATTCTATCTGGCAGCACGTTCTCAGGATGTGGACTAGAGAAAGGTGGGCAGTTCAAGCTAGGTTTTGGGAGGCTGACTCTTACCAACTCTGGCAGGTTTTGTTTTTTCAGTGACCTCCAGGGTGGGATGTAGAAACCACAGACCCCACTATGTGAATTTCTGCCAGTGCTGGGGAGTTTAAAAGAGGTGGCTGAAGGCCACTGGCAACAACAGAGCTGTCTTACCCACTCTCAGATGGGAAAGTCACATTTGGTCTTTTGGCTTCCTGGATTTTTCAGATTATATCAAGAGGCTGCGGTACTGTGAGTACTTGGGCAAGTACTTCTGTCAGTGCTGCCATGAGAATGCCCAGATAGTCATCCCCAGCCGGATTCTGCGCAAGTGGGACTTCAGCAAGTACTACGTCAGCAATTTCTCCAAGGACCTGCTCATGAAGATCTGGAATGATCCTCTCTTCAACGTGCAGGACATCAACAGCACCCTATACAGGAAGGTCAAGCCGCTCAATCAAGTTCGAGTAAGACCCTTGAAAAGACCACAACAGAGATTCTTACCCTTCTCTTCCCCTCATCCCCTCCCTCTGATCATACGGGACTTTCCAAGATCACCACACTGCTTGTTATCACAGTGTCAGAGCTGTATCATCTCACCATTCACATCCTCCCTATGTACTCTCTTAACCTCTTCCCATTTCCCAGTTATCTGTCTAGTCAGATCCTCAAACCTGGCAATGGCAGCTTTGAAGCTATATAGATAAGACAGTGCTTGAAGGCAAAAGCAGAACTTCTCCCGTCGCTGAAAATATTACTAAGTAGAGAATAGGGTGTCCAGTGAGAAATTTAAATTCCAGAGTGCTCAGCACTCTGGAATTTGTACTTTGGGCACTTACTTGGCAGAGGGGCCTTCCCCAAGTAGAGATCACTTTGAAGCAGGTCGCTGAGTTAGAGGTCTAGAGGACAGTCTGTTTTGACTACTGCATGCATAGCTTCCAGACCCCCGGGGTTTAAAGGCACTGGTCTTTCTAACACTTCTCTCCTCTTCTCTACCTCCCCCACCCCATTCCCACCCATCATCTTTCTCTTCAGCTACTTCGGGTCCAGCTGTATCACATGAAGAACATGTTCAAGACATGCCGATTGGCCAAAGAGTAAGTCTTGTGTGGAGGCCAGAGACCTCTGGCTGAGTTACTATCTCTCAAAGGAACCTGTCCCAGAAGTTGGCTCTTGTTATGTGAAGCAGGAGAATAGGGGGATTTTGCAGAAATGTAAAATGGTAAAGAGGAAGCCACAGCAGTAACCGTGTCTGGATTCTTCTCTCTGGAAGGGGAAATCACATCCAATCTGGCATGCATCACTCTGTAGGAGGTTATAAATAAGTCACTTCTGTTATCCAGACACCCAGAAGTATGGGAAGATTGGGGTGGCCTGGAACATGTGGACTGGCTGAGTGTTGACCATCTTCATTGCTTATCTCATCTACTTCTGAATGGGAATCCTTTGTGTGACACATCTACTAAGATGTGCCACACAAAGAGTTTTTTCCCTCTCGCCACCTCCTTCCCCTCATTTCCTATAGGCTTCTGGATTCCTTTGACACAGTCCCAGGCCATCTGACAGAGGATCTCCACCTGTACTCACTGAATGACCTGACTGCAACCAGGAAAGGGGAGCTGGGGCCCCGGCTTGCTGAGCTCACCAGGGCAGGGGCTGCCCACGTGGAGCGATGCATGGTGAGAAAGTCTCGCTTTCGCGTACAACCGAGCCCTTGCTTAAGCAGAGGGGAGTGGGGTAGACCCAGAGTTCCTGTCATTTAGCTCCAGGAAGTTACAACGGCCAGTTAGCACTGTGAGAGAAACTGGAAAGGCTCGCTGTTCATTAGGCTGGTGAACAGCTCAACCGTCCAGATCTAAAGGACCTACAAACAGAAGAGGAATTGGCATTGGCATTGCCTTTGGGTGGCCTTGGGCAGGACAGAGCAGACTTTCACTGAAGAACTGTCATGATGTGGAAGGAGAACCTAGGATTAGAATCTGGAGAGGGGTTCTAGTCTGGGTCTTGGCCTTATTATTTTCACTCACTGTGACCAAAAGAGCGACTCGGCCCTCTGTGAGGTAAACCTCAATTTTCTTGTCTCTAAAATGAAGATCATAATTAAACATACTTTCCTCTCAGTATTTTTGAGTATTGATGAAATAATTTGTGTGACAGCATTTTGTAAATTTTGTCTTTTCCACAAACGCACGTTTTATTGTGATATACTCAACCTACTGAAAATTCAGAAATTTCATTTTTAGAACTTTCCGCCTTAGAATATGACCCGTGTGTGTTCCTGCAGCAGTCTTAGATTTAAAGCTTAAAATTGGGCATATGTAGAGAATCTTGTGTGGCTAGGGGAAATTGGAAATACTTCACCATAACCTTACTCGAGGCTGGGTGTTGTTTTGAGAAACGTCCTTTCCTTCACATTTTATCTTAATGGACTGTGGTTCCTATTTCAAAGGAAAATCACTATTGGAATGATTTTATGGAACCATTATGGGATATCAACCATAGGAAGCCCTTTAGGGTATCATCCCTTCTCTGTTTCCTCTCTTCACTGGGAGCCACTCCAGTGGTAGGTAGGGGCTTGCCAGGCTTGTGCCTCTCTTGTTTCCTCCTTAAAGCTTTGTCTAACACCGCCCAGCTCTGGTCCTAGTCTGGCTCTCATGCTCCTAAGTCCAGCCCAGGCTTCTTCCTTGTGGTTGGTGGACCCCAAAACCACTCGATTTTTGTGTATATTTTGCCCCTCCCCTCCCTGGTGTTCACCCTCCTATAGTTCCCGATGTGCTTGCTGCCCCTCATTCTGTTCCATGCCTCTTTCCTCCCCAGCTCTGCCAAGCCAAGGGCTTCATCTGTGAGTTCTGTCAGAATGAGGATGACATCATCTTTCCTTTTGAACTCCATAAGTGTCGGACCTGTGAAGGTGAGGTCTGGTGCTAGGGGTGGGGCATGTGAGACTGAACATAAAGCGCATTAATTTCCCTTGAACTTCCCCTGTTTGCAAGCGTTTGGTTTGACTTAGCAACTCCCAGTGTTTTTCTCACCAGAAGCACCAAGCTGCGTTGGTAAGAAGGGGCCATGGCAGTGACTTACTTCCAACTAGAGATAATACAAATTGTTTTTTTCCATCTCTTACCTTCTCAACCTGAATAGAGTGCAAAGCGTGTTACCATAAAGCGTGCTTCAAGTCTGGAAGCTGTCCCAGGTGTGAGCGGCTGCAGGCCCGGCGGGAGTTGCTGGCCAAGCAGAGCCTGGAGTCCTACATGTCAGACTATGAGGAGGAGCCTGCCGAAGCCTTGGCCCTAGAGGCCACCGTCCTGGAGACCACCTGAAGAAAGCATGCTACACCCTCTGACGAGGGTCCGGGGTCACCATAATGCAGAGCTGAGCCACCCTGTTAAGGACTTTCCCCACTTGGGGCTTTTTAGTTTTTAATTATCATTATTATTTTTTATGACTTGTCCAATGTCCGTATATAGTCAGCCTTTGTTAGGTTGATGGGGTCCATTCTGTTGTGACAGAAATTTGTAAGCCAGGTATTTCTATCAGGACTGACATGTGGGTCCTTAAGTGAAGCTTCTAGTGCTTCTGTCAGGGAAATGGACAGTGAGACCCAATTCTTCTGACGTCCATGGCCTTCTCCACAAGGACCAGATCTGGTTTCAGCTGCATCTCAAGTATCATTTCCAGTTCGATTTTGTTTTACTTCCGAGCTTCTGAGCCAGGCCTTTCTCAACCAAATGTCTTCTCCTTTGCTGCTGAAACAGGATAGAGTGTCCTCTCTCTCAGTCCTGGAATAGGGTCAGACTATGCCCTGAGGAGAAGCAGCAGAAAATGGGACCTTGTGGCATTCTCTCCTCTCATTTAGGTATTTTGGGTCTGTAAAAACAGAATCATCACTATCCTAGACTCCTTAAAGACCTCAAGGAGGCAGGGATGACTTCCCTGTTTGAAATAGCCTAGGCACAAGCTGACTTTATTTATCTATCCTGGTGATCTTGAATCAGAGAACAGAACTGAGTAGCTTAGGCCAGGCCCATTTATAGCGGTATACCATAAGAATAAGTGAGGCTATAACGCTGTTGCTTATGGAGCATGTATTCAGTTAGAGGAGCAGTGGGCTTCCTCTCAGGTGTTAAGATCTCTTTTAGTTAACCTAGCTCTTTGGTGCAGGTATGATTTTTCAAGCTCAGGCAAGTCCCTGATGCCAGCCTAAGGCAAGGACATACACCCTGCCCACTACCCACCTGTCTTATTAGTGAGTTCCTTACTACTCTGTCCCCTATTAGATGGTCATTGTGGTTCTGAGTAAAAGTCTGGCTCAGCTGCATTCTCTCTTCCCTTCCTACAGCTGAGCTGTACCTTCCCTGGTGACTGTTTCTCTTGCCTTAGTTTTTTTTGTCAAAATTGTCAAAGTTGAAAGAAAAGCTTCCTGCTATTAGTGCTGTTACAGAACTTGACAATTTGTGGAGGTGAATGTGAATGTTCCCGTGTTCTTGGGATAACAGCCTTTATGCCAGTTATGCACTTAACTCTTTAGTTGGATAAAGTGATATTTATATGTTCAGTTTTCCTTTTTATATTACTAATTTTAACATACTCTCCCTTCCCCCCACTCATTAATGTGTGTTTTGCTGGAAAAAGTGCTTGAATGGGACTGTATACATGTTTGTAGTATTCTTCTAAGTTGCTATAGCTTCTAAACGCTATGAAAAACCCTGGGCAGGTTTGCTGCTCCAAGTGCTGGCAGCTCTTGTGAACTAAAGCCCATAGCATTTTTGTTCTGGGATTGACTGCTTCCTGTATATCTGTCTTCCCATAGTTGGGTGCTAGTAGAAAAACATTTGGCTTGGGTGCTACCCCAGGAAACCAAACAGAAAGTTGCACATGGTTGGTGGAAGCTGATGAGTGTCTGAGCTGGAGGTAACAAGGGGTCTACAAGGAAGTAGGAGGGACATTAAGGTAATGGCCAGAGCTGAGGCTCCACCAGCCAAGAGGGAACATATAGGAGTCGGCCCACGATGTTGGTTCCTCTGCCTCAAACTTGGGCTCCAACAGCTACATTGGCCTCTGAGACTGAGGCTGTTCTCCCTTCAGTTCATAGTGAAGCTCTGAAAGCCAAGGCCTGGCCAAAGTTTGAAGGGCAGACTAGAAGCTCTATCGTCCCTCACGGAGCTTTGGGAATGACCCCACAAAACTTAAGTCTCACTAAATGTTAGGCCCCAGTTTATACAAGTGGTGAGCTCTACTTCCAGTTTTGGTTTAAATTACAAACCCAGCCCTTTACTCTATGTCACTACACTGAAGGAGAGACATACTCTTTTGTTGTCCTTCCTGCCTTTTTCGTATCAGCATAGGATCAAAGAATGGAAAACACTGACACGATTTGTATAGCTGAATTCAACAGTCTTACATGCTTCTAATTTTTCCACTTATTTTTCTCCACGTCCCTCACCCCATCCCTGTAGATTGCATATCCATTTATTTATTTATTTGAGAGTGGGGGAGAGGGCAGAGGATGGAATGTTTTGAAAGCACTTTGCAACTTATTAGTATCTGAAGATCCCTTGCCATTGTGGGGAGAAGCTTTGACTGCACTGAAGAGAGTTCCTTCTAAGTGAGATGGGAGAGAAGTGTTTTTTCTGTAAATAAAGGGAAAAAAAGTTTGCTTACAAGGTGGAGACAAGATTCAAGACATAGCAGAAGAGTGGAGGGCAAATATTTTCCACTTATATGAGGCTGTTATTGACTTTCTCTGCCAAGGTTTTAGAGCTGTTGGATTAACATAAAAGGAGCAAGAATCTAGAAATGTTCTGTGTGTGTACAACTTGTGTTCTGAACTGAATTTCCATTTGCTGTAGTTCTTGCACAGCCTAAAATTTCATTGTCATCTTTAATAAACTAAGGAAATGAAATTCTGCCTTTTGTTTGCCTACCTTAACTATTGAGAAATGGGACTGAGTATCCACTGTAAAGCAGGCAAGTCTAAAAACTGAGAAGCATTCTGTTATAATGCAAAGCAAACTGGACCATACAAGTCAGGAAATATGGATGGGAGTACTCTGTCACTGATGTGCTATGAGTCCTTGAGTGAGTCACTTCACCTCTCTAGAGGTTCCTTCATAGGTACAGTGACAGCATAGTTTGTGTGTTGCTACCCATACTCTTGGTGTAACTATCATTTAAAGCGAGGTCAGTCTTCCTCTCTGCAACATCTGAAATGTCTTAGATGCTTCTGCTCCCACTTCTGTGAGCATCTAGCTCTGTCTTTCTCTTTTATGCTCCTGGCCCACTGGAGTTGCAGCTCTACCCTGCAACTTTCTGAATATTTCCCCTTAGATGTCCCCTTGTCATCTCCAACCAGTGTTGAAAACCAACATAAATATCATATTTCCCAAAGCCTATTAGTCATCTGAGTTTGAAAATTTAGTTGTCAGCCATTTCCAGGCCATCGCCACCATTGCCACGGCCATTGCCTTGCTAAGCTATGGTGTGACCATGTGCTCTCTGAGGTCATGTTTTCTTAAGCTTTGGCCCCCTTCCCTACCTTGGGGAGGTGAATCTCCTCTTTATATCTCTCTCTCTAATTTACTTTTTAAATAAACTATATTTTCAAACCTAAAAAAAAAAAAAATTAGTTGTCTTCAGCTTCCTTTCCGAGCCAAGCGGCACATTGGGCTGGTCAAGCAAGGTCTCCTTCCCATCATCAAGTTCTGTTGATTTTTTTTTCTTTAAAATAAATCTGTCTCATTCCTTTTCCACCACTAACACACAAATTTAGCTTCTTAGCTCACATCTCAACTATCTCTAGTCGTGTCAATTTCTTCCTGTTCATTCATTCATCAAATATTTAGGAACTTAAAAATATGCCAGTTTCTTGTTAGTTCTGGGCTACAGCAGGCAGCAACATGGACCCTTAGGAGTCTTGTGGGGGAGACAGACATTGCACAAAGTCACCAACATGAATATGCAATTACAAGCTGTAATAAGACAAGGTGACCTAATTTAGACCAGAGACAAAAAGCCCCTGAGAAAGTGATACTTCAACCAAGACCCAAAGAATGTGGCTCAGAGTAGAAAGAATAGGGGTCCAGGCAGGAGCTAGCACACGGTCCTGAAGAGGAGTTTTGGCAAGACATGGGAAGGACTTACAAAGAATTTTAGATTTTATTCTGAGTACATTGGTGCGAGGGACTGCTTGTGTTTCCCTCACGTTCATGTTGAAAACCTCATCCCAACATGATGGTATTTGGAGGTGGGGCCTTTGGGAGGTAATGAGATCATAAGGATAGAGCCCTCATGGATGGGATTCATGCCCTAATAGAACTAGAGGCCAGAGAGCTAGGTTGCTCTCTTTCCACATGTGAGGACACAGCAAGAAGACAACTGTGTAAACCAGTAAGAGGGTCGTCACCTGACCCTGCTGACATCCTTATCTTGGACTTCCAATTTCCAGAACTGCAAGAAGCATTTGTTGTTTTATATTCTTTTTAATTGACAATATTACATATTCCAGGGGCACATAGTGATGTTTTGATACATACGCTGTATGGTGATCAAATCAGGTAATTAGTATATCCATCATCTCAAACATTATTTCTTTGTGTTGAGAACATTCAATATCCTCCTTCTAGTCATGTGAAACCATATATTATTGTTAACTACGTCATCCTACAGTGGAGAACACTACAACTTTATTCCTCCTATCTAGCTGTAATTTTGTATGCTTTAACAAATCACTTCCTTTCCCTTCCTTCCCCTGTTTGTCCCAGATTCTAGTATCCTGTTCTACATTTTACTTCTAAGAGATCAATTTTTTTTAACTTCCACATGAGTGAGACCATGCAATGTTTAAATTTCTGCTCCTGGCTTATTTCACATAACATAATGTCCTACAGTTCCACCATGTTACCTCAAATGATAGGATTTTGCCCCAACCCCCCCCCCCTTTTTTTTGAAGAGACAGTCTCACTCTGTTACCCAGGCTGGAATGTGGTGGTGTAATCATAGTTCACTGCAGCCTTGAATTCCTGGGCTTGAACAATCCTCCCAAGTAACTGAGGCTGCAGGCATGTACCACCACGTATGGCTAATTTTTAAAATTTTTGTTGACAAGGTCTTGCTATGTTGTCCAAGCTGGTCTTAGACTCCTGGGCTCAAGCAGTCCTCCTGCCTCAGGCTCCCAAATAGGCATGAGCCACCACGCCCAGCAGGATTTCTTTTTTTTGTGGCTGAATAGTATTCCATGGTATACATATGCCACATTTTCTTGATCCATTCATCTGTTGTTGGACACCTAGGCTGATCCCATATATCGACTATTGTCAGTATTCCTGTAATAAACATAAAAGTGCAGGTGTCTCTCTGATATAATGATTACCTTTCTTTTGGATTAGTTCTCAGTAGTGGGATTGCTGGATCATATGGTTATTCTGTTTGTATTTTTTTGTGGGACCTCCATATTGTTCTTCCTAGTGACTGCAATGATTTACAGTCCCACCATCAGTATGTAAGAGTTTTCTCTGCATCCTTGCCAGCACTTATTTTTTGTCTTTTTGATAACAGCCATCCTGAGGTGAGGTGATATTGGTTCTAATTTTCATCATCGGATTAGTGATGTTGAACATTTTTTCATATACTTATTGGCCACTTGTGGGGTTTTTTTTTTGGAGAAATGTCTGTTCGGATTATTTGCTCCTTTTCTTTTCTCTTTTAAATCAAGAAGTCCAAAGAAAATCTTCATTGAATCAGGAACATAATACAAATGACAGCGATCTGCTTATAAAACCTGGTGCCAAATGTGGCCTTTGGGAACATATATAAAAATGTGCAGCAAAATCTGCATGAGGGCACAGTGCAGCAGCTGGCAGCCCTAATGGGAGTGGCCACAGATAGGGCTGATCTGTGGACACAGGGAACCCATGGTCGTCCAGCCTTGGGGTGAGCTCTACATGAGAATGGCCCACTCTGAGGAGAAATCAGAAGAGCTTTTCTGAAGGCAAAACACCTGTGAGCACCAAAATGCCATAATCCTGGCATGAAACAATGATGCTGGGAAGAAGGGCAGGAGAAAGGAACTCCCTTTTTTTCCTTGTTCCTGCATTTGCCCTTTTAAAAATCAGATTGGGGTTTTTTTGTTGTTGTTGAGATGTTTCAGTTTCTTGAATGTTCTGGATATCAATGCCCTGTTGGATGAGTAGTTTGCAAATATTTTCTCCCATCTCATAGCTTCTTTTATCTCTGATACTATGTTTGTTTCCTTTGCTGTGCAGAAACTTTTTAGTTTGATTTTCTCATTTGTTTATTTTTTATTTTGATGTCTGTTTTCGAGGACTTATTCATACAATCTTTTCTAGACTAATGTCCTGAAGCATTTCTTCAGGGTTTTATTCTAGTAGTTTTATCATTTGAGGTCTTAAATTTAGGTATTTTGGTTCATTTTGAGTTGATTTTTGTATAGGGCAAAAGGTGGGGGTCTAGTTTCATTCTTCTGCATATGGGATATACACTTTTTCCACCACCACTTATTGAACAAACTCTTCTTTCTCCAGTGGCTGTTTTTGGCACCTTTGTCAAAAATCTGTTGGCTGTAGATATGTGGATTGATTTCTGAGTTCTCTATTCTGTTCCATTGGTCTATGTGTCTGTTTTTTTTGTTTGTTTGTTTGTCTGTTTTTCTTTTTTTTTTCCTTGGAAGAAAACCACTTTATTCTAATTAACTCACACACAAAAAAAATCACAACAGCTGTCTTAAGGAGGCCACATGAACATTTGCCCAGCCCCAAATATTACACCATCTCACTGAAATTCTGCATAGTAAGAACAACTTCTTCCATTGCAATTCTGAAGCAAGGAAGCTACAAATGACCAAGGGGAGGTTTAACTGGTGGTTTTATACTTGATACCTTCACTGTCAATTATATTTTTATGCTAAATTAACTTGGTCATAGAGCCAATTTTCCATTTCTTCAATCTGAAATTCTTGATTAGGCTAATCCATTTGCAAGTCTGCACTGTTTCAGCACTTCATTTATTCTGGTTCTGGGTACACTCCAAAAACTGTTTTATCTCATAAAAGCAAGTTTCTGCTGTGTGAGCTGGGCTTGCTGAGTTTCCTGATAAGTGATGTCAGGCCTTGAGGGTTCACCATTACTTCCTCCACTGAAGCCCCCAGTGATAGCATGACCCAGTATGTGCCTGGCAGCAGAGCCCACAGCCATGCCAGCTGCAGTGGTTGCCATGTGGGCCATCAGACCCAGGAGCAGCAGCAGGTGAGCTAACTGCAGACGGTGGGGCTGCTGCTGGCAGCTGAGCTGCTGATGCTGGCCTGGGCATAGCTCTCATCTGAGAGGCCCGGCTGGTGCAAGGGGCCATGCAGGAGGTGCGGCTTTGGATTCCTTTTGTTTTTTTTTTTTTGAGTTGGAGTCTCACTCTGTCACCCAGACTGGAGTGCAGTGGCCGCTCCCGGCCACCGCAGCCTCGACCTGCTGGGCTGTGGCAATCCTTCCGCCTCAGCCTCCCAAGTAACTGGAGCTACAGGCGCGTGCTACCACGCCCGGCTCATTTTGATTTTATTGTAGAGATGAGGTCTCGCCAAGTTGCCCAGGCGGGTCTCGAACCCGCAATCCACTCACCTCAGCCTCCCAAAGGTGCGGGATTATAGGCTGAGCCAGCGAGCCCGGCTGGCTTTGGATTCTATACAGCGTCGCAACTGCATGGCAGCTCAGTGTCTAGACATGCAAAACTACTATGTGTCTGTTTTTAGGACAGTACCATGCTATTTTGGTTACTACAGCTTTATAGTATATATTGAGTTCTGGTGGTGTGATGCCTCCAGCTTTGCTCTTTTTGCTCAGGATTGCTTTGGCTAATTAGGGTTCTTTGTGGTTGCATATACGTTTTAGAATTTGTTTTC